ATACTGTGCAAGTGCAAGACGGCACATTTTGCCATGAAAAATACTTTCTCATCCAGTGTCTGATGTCGAGGGTACGAGAAGTAGAATACAGAATATAAAAAGCTTTGAAATATATGCCAGATTGGGACATAAAAACAATCCCGAAATACCCATAAATATGTGAATGGGAAGGTTTTAAATATCATGTTACACTAAAAGTCATTGGTTGGGTCAACATATTTAAACTGGTTTTTTTCTTTGTTTAATTCCTAGTACAAAATAGGATATGTGAAATATGATTTTGATGGCATGTAAAACACTATCAAAAAGTAGTTACACATCTTAACTAAAGGTAAGTTATACTTTAATCAATTTTTCTGCATTTCAACCTTCTTTACACACACATATTTTTTTAGAAACAGCAGAGATTTGGCGACCATGTTTCACATGTTATTAGACTCACGAGCTGTCACTGACTAAACTAAATACCACTGAACATCTTAATCTTTAATTGCAAACGCACCATATGCGGTTGGATAACACCTTATACATGGGGAGGTTTGTAATATTTCACAACCGATTTCAAAGTAAACATTTAGAAAACCTTGTACCTCTTCCCAACACGCGTGCACCATATGATTATCCAGGAAAGCTCTAAATAACGAAACCTCCTTCGGACTTTCCTTTGAGCACGTGGAAGATTTCGGATAAATTTATCATGGTGAAATTTCTTTGCCTATGTACCTAGATAAATTTCAAACACGGTTTTATTATCTGATAGTTATGTAATGGGGAATCCGAAGTTACCTGCTATACAAGTTAATTTGTATTTTTTTAATTTTTTGACATTAAGTTTTTACAACAAAAACTAATGTTACCACAGTAGACTTTCACTTTAACGCACGTTGTAAGAAAAGAAAGTACTGAAACCGCGCGCCGGAGAGCGGAACTTTTCGACACAAAGACTCATTTTGCCGAACCCTGGCAACACATACAGTAAATTACTTCCTATAAAACATTTAAAATTGGAAATCCATGTATTGTGAGTCCTTGATACCGAAAAATCAATTTACAGGGAAACGTCTGTATCCGTCTGTCCGTTAATCTGTTCGTGGTCAACGCTCGCGCCTAAACCGCTCAGTTTATTTTCTTCAAAATTGATATTCCTTGATTGATCTGAAAGATCTCGAGTCTTTGCGGGTTTGAAACTAATATTTTTATTTTCGAGAGTAGGAGACACTGCCATTCCTCCGACACTCTTATTGTTATAATATTTTTCTCTTTTCTTTTGGACATGACATTGTTTATGGCCTTCTTTTTGAGATGATATACATCAACACATTTAAGTGTAATAAAAATATTTTTAAACATTCTATAAAGTTCTTTTTTAAATATTTTTTTTTGCAGAATGTGTATCTATGTACATGGAACTCACACTACCCGAGACAAGTGTAGGACAAGTAAAAAAAATAAAATAAAGTTCTTTTTCATGGATAGAATATAATAATTACATTTAATGGACAAATGGATGTTATCCTACGTTATAATAAGTTGTGTGTAAAGGAGAAAACATTTTTCTGCCATTATTTGCAACTAAAAATCGATTGATTCGAGAGATTATGTTCTGTTCTCTATGTCAAATTCATATGATATAAAAATAGCATTTTATAAACCGAAAGGACGTTAACCTAGATTACAAGTAACCTTGTAAAGGAAACAGGAGAAATAATTAATGTTTTTATGTGTGCATTTTTTTAAATATTGCACAATAAAGATTTCATACTCGTCCTATTCTATAACTGAACTATTAATAACCAACGAATTGACATATGATCATTAACAGCAGTCAAAATTAGATTATTAATGGTTTCTACTAATGATTGAGGTCTTTTATTGTTTCCTTTGTTTTGTGACATGGCCAGATTACATCTTGAAACCAATTATATCCAGTTCAGTACTACACATATATGTAGACCCTAAGTACATTAACAGTCACCGTACCTAGGTACAACAATCTGCTATCATGAATGTACCTGGCTTCTGTTAATTGTAGGTTATCTGAAGGAAAGAAGTATACACCTTACAATAACTACATTACATGCTAGTAAGTATAGGCCGACGCCAATTTTCGTAAAGTAGTAGTAGTTATTACAAAAGGGGTGGAAGAGAAATCCTGGATTTTTTACTTTTCACTCGTCAAATCTATTAAACTCTCATTGTATCACTTAAATAGCTTACACTTGAAAGTCATTCACTTGAATAAACTCAAACAGCATAAATCTGCTCTTTGACGATAGAACTTTAAATAAGATCCTGTATAGTTTTAAAACAATATGAATATTTTATGCGTAATTGTGCGAAAAAATATGCAATTAAAATTTTAAAAAATGTTTTTTCTCACAAACGGCTTCAGTTTTGTCTTTAAATTTTTTCCTGGTATCAAAGTAATGTAAAGACGTGGTGCTAATTTCATTTCCAGCATACTATTTGTATTTTTGAAAATGGCAAAATGTTAACATTTCAAAACGATAAGATTGACCATAGAGATTTTGCTTAAAACAAAATATGTTCTAAAAAAGCATCTTTCAGTAATATAATGAACATTTCTTTAAATACTAATTTTTCCCGCAATTGCTACTTGAAAGTAAGATGAAAAAATTGGGATTTAAAAAACATTTTCTTCAAAATCGCTTCAAATGTTTTCTTACCATTTTTTCCATCGATAGAAAAAAAAAGTTTAAAAGATTTGCGCAGGTCTCATTTCCATTCAACTCTCCGAATTTTCGAAAATTGGCAATTTTATAGATAATGCTAGAAAGTATGTGGTGATGGAGCACCACCAATTACTTTTGAATTTCTTCTTCTACTACTGCTTGTAACAGCTATACATATATTAAAACTTTCTTCTAACTTCATTTTATTGTTAGGGTTTCTGAAGTATGATCTAATCATAATCAGCAGTCAAAAAGATTAAAATTATGAAAAGATTCGATAGTGGATCTCTCTTTCTCGTCTTAGGAAAGGAAGTACATATCCAGAAAATTTCCAAACTCAAATGCATATATACCAAAACATACACATAAACAAAACATTCTCACACATACCAAAAACAAAAATTGCCCTTCTTACAATAACAAAATCAATATAACAAAATGTCCCTTCTCTCTTGAAACAAAATGGTATATCCGGAGTTTGGCACCTGTTCCTTCGGTTCCTTTGGTTCACTAGAGGGGAATCGACTCGCTGAACTGAATCCTTGTTTATTGTTCACATGTTGTAATAGTCACCATGTTATCGCAAGAATTATTTCTATTTAACACTCACATGCTACTTAAACTATCATACCTACTCAAAGCCAATATTTTATTACCAAAAAAAACAACTTATCTACTTAACACATTTTATATGCTCTAGAATTCGCAGTATATTTCACTAACACTTTCTACTTAAACATTTTTATTATTGGGAGGATATCGTCCCCCAAATCCCCCATTTTAATAATATAAAATCAATCGATCATTTTTTTCAAACCTACACTATATTAAATATATCGGTGAGCGGTTATATTAAAAATAATCAGTGAACCAAAGGAACCGGTGCCACCTAAACTCCGGATCAAACGAAAAAATTAACAAATCAACAAACTCACAAACAATTATACATTTTTAACACTTTGATATTAATAAAAAAAGGGAGAGCATCAAGCACAATTTGTTAAGTTAAAGTTACATGAACATCATGAGCACTGTTCATGACATTCACTTGCCGCTCTCTGCGTTTACCTTTTTCTTACACAGGGCCTAATGACCGCCATTTACACTAGAGGATGCTACAACATGCAACCACTCAACGCACACATTAAAGATCTCTACGAAAATACTGTCAAGAGCCTCCAACGTCTTGATACTTCTCTGTCATAGTAAGTTCGTGGCGAAAGATAAGAAGAAAAAATATATGAAAGATAATTGTTACCTCACCCAACGACCTTGCCTCACTCAACGACGCGAAGCTTGCGACGGCCAGCGGGCTGGTGTCGCCGAATACCTGTCTCCGCGCAGATCCGGGTTCTTACGCGGCAATATAGTGTAAGAAAAATGGACGCCCGTAAACCTCGGCGTAGCAGCTTCAGTGCCAGTTTCTCTTCCTCGTTCTCACCACGCTCACCACCACTCCCCAATAACACACTTTTTTTTCGTCCTTCCTCTCTCGCGTCTCCAAACCTTCTCGTAACCACGCTCTCTACCATGTCGGTCAGCACGGACAATACAATTCAAATGTCGCAGAATATATATAAATACAGGTTTCCAACCTCATTCAGATGGCACTGCCCGCGCTATTTGAATGTAGCGTTGTTATCTCGACCATAGATAGGCAACTGTTACAATCATTGCTTCTACTCATCCTTGTTCTACACCCATATCTTAAAAAACTCGTTTCAGCAACGTGTTGGATCCAGATTTGTAATTTGTTAAAAAATTCCAGTTTCCGAAAGTTCAGATGTTTTATTGAGAAGTGGCTTTATTTAAAACAGTTTTTTGGTGTATTTGTGTAAAAGGCAGTAGTAAAAGGTTTAAAAGAAACATTTTAAATCCTTTTCGAGAAAATTTTATTTCGATTTCTTAAATTGTCACAATCTGAATCAAAATTAGGCGAAAACTACTCGTATTTTGAAATAATACGTCTTTCCATCATAAAATATCTGATTTTTAATTAATGAGTACTTTTCATTATGAGAAAAATTCCCTTCTTGCAAAGGGATCTTTGAGTTTCTTGGAGCCAGAACACAAGTCGGTCCACATCCCTTAAAGAAATGTAAAAATGTTAATTACTACACAAAGGAACATGTAAATTGCTTTTACTATTTTCGTGTTAATTATATGCTTTAAATAAACATTCTGGTAGTATCTTCTCGCACGCAAACCGCATTTCCGTTTGCAATCTGGGCAGCATTTCCGGTACGCCACCACAAAATGAAATCAGCTTCTCATTAACAACTTTGCAATCCTTGTGTTTAATAAACCACAATATCGCATCACTGTCGGATGGATTAAAGTTACAATAAGAAGACTGTGTCGCATTCGTAATACAGAGTAGAAGGTGATCAGTGTATTGTAGCGCCAGCCTTTTCGCGGTCTCTGAGAACAACACCACAATGCCAATTACGGTAAGAGGGTTTTAAGTCAAATAAAGAAAGCGTGTACCCGTGAAAGTAATAAATGCAGATTATTCTAAGTGAATAATAGTAATTGCAGTCAATATCCACAGTACTACTCTGCCCTTGCAGGTCCCAACTTATTAAGCATTGATTTTTGTACCATTAAAAAAAAATCTATTACTTTATTCAAATACAGCAATCATTCTTAATACAGCATTTTCCAGGTTTTATAAAGTAAATTCATCAAGTACATATATATATATATATATATATATATATATATATATAAATATATACATATAGAATGACATTTACTTATATTTATTATAAAAAATTATGTATTTAAAATGTGCTTTTCGAGATGTTTCATTACAGCACATGTCCCTACAAAGTTTTGACAAATATTCGTTACCACGTCATATAAAGTGTTTTATGAAGTTCAGTTTGTGTTAGCTATTTGAATTATATTTACGATATATTTAATACACATTTAGAATTAATTTAAAAAAATGCAATTATGTGAGTAGTATTAAAATTTTGATCTTATATCTGTAAAAGTTACAATAAAGTGTAACTTTCATTCCTTTTCTTATTATCACGAACTAGCAGTAGTAATAGTAATAATATAAATAATTGCTAGCTAAGACGTTTTATGCATATCTGCTTCTTTCAACAGGACAAAGAGAAAAGAAGGATGGAGAAGCTGGTGAACAAGCAGAAGTACGTCGATAAAGATTTCCCTCTATCTTCGGGTGAAAAAAACCTAAAATGGAAGCGCCCTCATGTAAGTTATGTGTATATTTGACAGGAAATGTTAAGATTGTAAATAATGTATTTTTGTTTCTCAATAAAATGCTTGCTAAATTATAAAATGCAAATAAATGAAGCTGTTAATAAGTACGATATGATTTTCTATGGATCGACATTGTTTGTGACGGGTGGATTCAGAGAAGAATTTTGGGAGGGAAATGTTTATTCCACATGTTTTGGTCGAATGTGTCACATTACAGAATATGTAGAATTACGCGGACTAAACTCAGCTCATATTGCGATACTATTTTATTCGTTTGGTTCATTATACTTCATATTTTTGCTTGAAAGTTTCGTGGCAAGTTAAAATAAATAGTTTCTGAAAACTTTTGAAGGGAACATTTCCTTTATTTGCCTCCCCGTGGATCAGCATCTATATGAGAGATAACATAAAATATTGGTGCCGATGATGATCCCTATTTTTTATATAATATTATATTACACTTGTTTCATTAGCACTTGTTGTTTTAAAGAGTAATATAAATGTCAGTTAACATTGTTTATGTATACAATATGTATGGTTATTTATTAATGGTATGTGTACTATGTTTATAGTTCTTAAATATATTGAAATCTTGTTTTGTAATTTATTTTATTTTAGTTCATGGTTTGACATGAAATTTAACCAAAATATAATTTACTTTTTAAGTACTGTAAAACAAATAGAGGAGTTGAACTGTTTATTATTTTTCCTTTTGATAAGGAAAATAATTGTCGAGGATTTATATTGTACACATAACATTTCGTTCTAATGTTATCGCCAGCACTGAAACGGTTATATCACATTGGGATTGCGGGGCTTAATATAAACCAGAGACCACACTCAAAAAGTAGGTTGGGATACCTCATGAGTGAGTAAAGCCTGTCGGCACAGTGAAAAAAAATCAAAAATCGTCACTGATATTATCTTTCTTTTTCATTTAGTTAACACAGACTCAGCTACCACAGAAAGATTAAACATGACTGTGCCTTCCCGAGGCCTAGGCTTGCAAGCTGACAGCTAGCTTGATCCGAGATCAAAGTCAAGCAACAAAAAAGCAAAATAACTAACATTATTACTAATTCACTAATTAAATAACTCTTGGAAATTCTGCCAAAAGAAGTGCGAAATGCGTCTTCGTAATTTCAGAATTTGTAAAATTACGCTAAACCCTTCATATTCAAAAAACAATATTTAACATTTTTAAAGAACTTATTTAAAAGAACATTTAATTTATCGAAATATCTCTATCATCAATATTGTACTTTTAGTGTTTGTTATGTTAGTTTTGAATTGCAATTTCTAGAATACATAGTGTATGCCGAATATGCATAGCTTTCTTCAGCGTTCTTTGCTACATGCGAGGAAAAAGTTTAAAGAAATATTTGGAGCCATTTTTATAAATATTTGTTTAAAATTGTTTTAAAATTGAATGTTTTCCACAAAATTTCGCAAAACAGCCATGTTTTCGAATATCATCGTTATTGTGGTTGTAGGAAGATGTCGAAGAAATTTGCAACAGAACTTTTGTAATTATCAAAACGTCATGGAGTGCAACAACTCAACGACCTTCACCATTTCTATATGCGGTTTTTTTTCTTGCATTAAAACAAAGAAATTAAAAATTGGAGCCATTATTGAGAATATTTTGAAATTGTTGTTGATACTTCATATAAAGTGTCCTCAAACATCAAAATACCTATTTCAAACTCAAGTAATTGCGATTTCAGTCATGTCGAACGCGGAATACCAATTTTAGTGAAATTCCTGTTTATGGTTAACCTACTAGCGTTGTTAACAGACGGACGGACGGAAACGCTATCTATACTACTTAAGCAGTGCACGAGAAAGTAATAATGTTTCTAATCAGATGTAAATTACGTTTTTAACCTTATGTTAGGCGTGCCATCTTTGTAAATGGTGTAGTCGCGTTAGAACTGGTAGGTCCACAATATTTTTTGTTTTTAGAACAATCTCTGAATCTATTGCAGGAAATGTATTTTTTAATTTGTCTCAGGACGTATTACGAGGGTGTTTGATGGAAAATGAATGTCAGATTGTAACGTACCCTTTACTCGTACGTACAGCCAGGAGATGGGCGCCGTGGACACTGTCCACCAACTTACCTGCCTAGCCCATCTCCAGCAGCAACCGATGGAATCGCTCCTGGTAGAGCTAAGAGAAATCTGCAGGGTGGAGCCTTTCCGAGTTAAAGTGACAGAATTTTATTTGCGATCAAATGTTGTTATTGATTGAGGATAAATGAAATGCATTCGTTTGAACAATGTGGTTCCAGATGGAACACCATTTTAATTCTCACTAAGTGATTGATTATTGTGACAAAATACAAATAATTATATTCTTAAAATCATGCCACGTAAATGATACACACAAAAACAAATGAATGAACAAATGAACAGGTCATGCATGAAGTTCTTCTTCTTCTTCTTCTTCTCTCTTGCTGATACTGCTGGACTGTTGTGTTAACGAGTTGTCATTTTCACAAGGCGTCCTCGTGGGACGTTGGCAACCAAAGGGGCGGAATACAGGGTGCGTGTCGCTGGGCCCATTGAAAGGGTGTGATTGACGTCTCCTCGTGGGTCGTTTGCGGACCCAAGTAGCCGAAGTAGGCAAGATATGAGCATATTAGGATAAATTCCACGACTATTATCGTGATGTTAACGTGGATGGAGAGCAGGCGTCCTCGGAGGCGCTCGGAACAGCGCGTGGGCGGTGAAAAGGGTCGGTGTCGCCCCGCGAATGTCCGGGCGCGCAGTAAAATAAGCGCGACAGCGTAAATTGCCTCCTCTGGGCATCGCAACAGTTCCGGCGACATGTGGGCGGGGAGCGTCGGAGCAGGCGCCGCGCGGCAGCTGCGCTTCCTCGGTAGAGGTGCTCTCTGTCAGGCCTATGAGGACGAAATTTACGGAAGTTTCTTCGGCGGGCGACCCGAGTCGTAAAAGAACACAAAGGACTAGCACTTCAAAGGCACGTTTCTCACACAGGTGGGAGACACTGCGGGTGGGAGATATTCGGGGGTGGCACTGCGAGTGCATGCAAGCGTGGGGCGCCTCAGTGCATAGTGTATGTTTTCGAGATGAATTATTTTACGTATTAATATAGAACAGGAAAACAGAATATTACTAAAATCAATAATAATGAGTCATAATTATTTCACCTCTTATTGTTTTCCAATAGCAATGTTGCTTTAATTAAGGCATTTTTTTAATAAAGTTGTGCATTTTTGCGTTAACACAAGAGAGTATTATATTTTTCACAAATATATTTTCGGGCAATTTTTTTGTCTCTTTGCAGAAGGACTGTCACCTATTTCTCTTGGTGATTTACGGCCCGGAAATAGTTTTACTTTGATAATCCTGTTTCCTCCATTTAGTCAGCATTTTTTGAATTTCTGCTTGCAATATTAGACCTTGTTTGTTTCTCCTGAAGTATCAAACATCGTGCCAAGTTTTTTTAAGTACTCTCATTGAAGCAGGTTGTTAGCCATATCTGAAATAAATTACTCTCCCATTCAATGCCGCGATATTTTTTAAGATGAGAGAGTATTTTCATCGTAGATAGTATATGTATCATGTTTGCGTACTAGTGAAAAAATAAATGTCCTTCATAATGTTACAATGATTGTTCTAAATTGTATTTGTTTACGTCGTGATCCATATATAAATTTACAGATTTTTCTTTAACATTATCTTCCGACTCACAATTGGAAATTTCTTCTTCATAATGTTCATCTGCCTCATCGTCTTCTAAAATAAGTTCTCGTATCTTTCCTTCACCATCTATTATTTAGAAGTCAAAACATTTACTCGTAGTATAATAAGGGGAATATATTACGTTATTCAAAATCCCGCAAACATTGTCGCACGTAAGCAAAGAATACTACGCAACACGACTCCTTTTCTTTGTGCGAACTGCATATGTTAGGCGCGTGGTCTGGCACTCCAGAGAACAGCACCACGGCAGAAGAGATGGGTACGTGACCAAACGCCCTCCGGTCTATGTGGAGGTCACAATGCCACCAGCTACCAAATCGTTAAAGACAGTATGTCACCAGATCTCTTAAACAAGCATCTTCAACTCAGCAAGATATTGAATTCTATTACGCAATGAGCCTAGTAGCCACATGCACATCTATCGAAGGGTTAAATTAAGGTGGATATCAGAATTTCCTGCTACAATCCACAACAACATGGTAATTGATCAGATCTTGGTAAATACGAATATAAAACCTTTCAATCACATTTTCAGAAAAATATTCAATTCTGTGTTCACAGTGAGTTCATTCCCACTAGTTTTCTTCCACCTTTAATGTACCGATGGCTTAGTTAGAAATATCGTTTTCAAAAAATAACCAGTTCCCCACCAGAAGACCGAGGCCTATTGAATGACGCCTCTCACGCCCCGGTTGATGGACAGGATGAGGTGCGTCTAAAGGCGGCTCCATACGTACGGTATTCGGGGAATCCCCAGCAACCGCTCGCCGAATACAGATTAGTGTAGACGGGTTGCTTACGATTCGCCAAGCGCCAAACGTTTAGTATTCGCCCCATTCATCTGTCGGTCTTTTGAACTTATCAAAGGAAGCGAACATTCGCCGAACACTTCAGCTGTTCGGGATTGGTCGAACAGTAGCTCTCCGCTTGGCGAATGCCGAATATGTGGTGCCACCTTAAGACAAACGCTTTGACAACCAAATGTTACTTGGTTACTTTGTAAGCTATCGTAATATTGTAGGAGCGCTATATTTAATTTGAAATATAATTTGGTGTATGTTCTCGGTTAAAATGCATGATGTATTATTTTACATTGAGTACTAATGCAATATGCACAATAGGAAATCGTCAATAAACCGGAACTCTTCGTTGATGGTCCTAGCCACATGGACATAAGGCAACATAACTTGGGTGACTGCTGGTTTCTGGCTGCTGCTTCAGTGATTGCACAACATCCTCATCTTATTAATCAGGTGAGAAATTCATAAAAATATTCATTTAACTAAATATCATTACCACAAACACTCACATTCATTTCAAGAGTGAAGATCTTTCTGAGTAATTATAAGACTAATAATAACGATAATAATAATAATAATAATAATAATAATAATAATAATGATAGATGTTTTATTTTGAAATATTTATTAATTATATCAAAACAAAATCGCAATAAAAACTGCAACATTACTTAAAAGTGAACATAAAGCGCTTGACAAATTAATAAAGGCATTTACATATTTTTCATAGCCTGCTGCAGTGAAGTTACTTCCGGCATTGTTTGCTTCCTTGATGCTGTAATCTATAACTGGATATTCTTGTCTCAGACGACTTTTTGATAAATAGTAATGGATCATAAGTTCTTAGAAAAATTGCTTTTGGAGGCAAAATTGGCACTTACGTCCTTTTCCATGTGAACTCTTCATTTGTATTAGCAAGCGAAATATTTTTAGAATAATAAATGAGGGTTAAAAATAGTTTAAAAAATTGTGGAACAATGTAAACTTAATTGAATTGGTAATACGTGTATAAAAACGATAACATTCTTTTTGGTTTTCCGATAAATTAGTAAACTCTCATGAAATTAAATGTTCTTTAGGTCTTGCCAACCAACCAGTACCTTTACGGAAAATATTATACAGGAATACTGGCCTTCCGTTTCTGGAACTTAGGCCAATGGACGACTGTGTACATAGATGACACTCTCGCTGTGGATGAAGACGACGAACTTCACTATGGCCAGTGTACGACTAGCAATGAATTTTGGCTACCACTTTTAGAGAAAGCTTTCGCCAAGTAAGTTGTTTATATTATAAATATCTGATAAGGCCTTCCGACGATATTGTTCCTAAAGCGTATTCTACAGGACTAGAATAGTGCTGATACAACTCAACATTTTCAAAACCGTTAAACATCAATTTATTTATTTATATTGCAGTTTCAAGAGATAAACTCGTATTGGCTCATCGAGCTCACTGAAGCTGAAAAGTAATATAAATAATTAATGTTGTACCATTCTTCTTAATCTAAAATATTGTTATTGTTTATGTTGTAATACAATTGCTTATATTTTAAAAGTAAAAAATACTAAACATTACGAACGTTTACTAGCCTTGAACTGTCCCAAAAGTAATGCGTTGCTTTTTTTAATACGCATTTATTAATCAGATAGGTACATCAGCTTAAAATTCTTTAAAGTGTGACCCTTGTGCGTCGATACATTTTTGCCAGCGTGATTTCCTTTCCTCGCACGACCCAAGGAAGGCCTCGGAAGAAGTAATTTAGAGCCCTCGTCGTACTCGTTTCGACGTTGTCCAAAGCCTTGAAATGCGTTTTTAAGACCATTTTCGGCCGAGGGAACACGAAGTCCGCCAGAGCAAGGTCGGGGCTGCATGGTAGTTGTGGAAGCGTTGTCACTCTGATGTGGATCAGGTAGTCCCCGATAACGAAGGTGCTGTTGTCGGATGCTTTCGGGAAGCGTTGATCTCCTTTCGCACGCAGGTGGCCCCTTCGTTCAGTCTCTGCTGCCCTTGTTTAAAGAACTTGGCATTAACGGTGCGTCCTTACCTGTGCACTATCCCCTTTCTGTCAAAAAAGCAATTTGCATGACTTTGACGTGCTATTTCCTCTTGCGAGCCTCCTTGGAGCGCCGTGTGACACTTCGCGCTCAACCCCTTTGTTTTTGGATCGTATTCGAAGATCCACGTCTCATTCCTAGTGATAACAGTGTTCAAAAATCAGGATGAAACATCTCGAAAGGTTCCATCGGCGTCTTGTTCAGCTTGATGAAAAACTTGATCGTGTATCTTCATTCAAAGATGTCTCCATTGCAAGTACGACACAGGAGATCACAAACTTACATGTTGTAACCTCTCCAGGGCATGGAGACGACTGAACTAGAAACCGTTAGAAAACTAAATTTTCATTTACCCTATCCAAAATAGTCCGACCGTTCTGCGACGTATAGTGGCGTTAAAAAAATTGTAACGCATTGCTTTTGGGACATACCTTGTATGTGAACAACCTCTAAATTATGTCCAGTTTCTATTGATTTTCGTTTGCCTTCTAAAATTTGAAAGTGCATCAATATCATCCTTGAACATGAAAATTGAAAAAACTTTAAAATAACTCTACTCTGCATGTCAATGTGCTAATCCTAGGTTTCCTTAGGTTCATAGAAAATATAAGATGCAAGCAAAGAAGTCCGAATTCTAATTTTAAATTTTTGAAGAACTAAAAGCTTATATTGAATAAACAATTTTCACAAAATATTATTTTAAGAAATACATCTTTTAATTAATTATTGTGATATACTTCTATAAATCGGAAAATATGTGACTCTTTCGAGACGTATTTATTTTATTTTTTCATATTTATATTCAGGTATCACGGAGGCTACGAAAACATCGAAGGAGGATTGTCAACTGAGGCAATGTTGATTCTCACTGGCTACGTCACAGAAGACATCGTGGAACCAAAACTCAATGAACTACAACTGTACAATATATTTTCCACGGCAGTACAGCACAATGCACTCATTACTGTCGGGTCGCCGGTGAGTAGGTGTTCATCATGCGTTGGGGTGGGATCTAGGGTATTATAAGAAAATAATATGGGTTGCAAAAGCTGTCTATAACAATAGATTCATAATTTAATTGTTAGCATGGATTTGAAGGGTCAACCTTTTTTTCGGCTTTAGGAGAACTTAATTTCACATATTGCTGGATCATAAATGATAAAAACTGATATTGCCAAAAACTGTCATTGCTGTTGCTTGTTAAATCACGCATAATAAATATATTTGCACGCTTTGAGACAGGTCAGCTGCATATATGACTATTCAGATGTCAGAAATTATGTTAAAAACATCATTATGTATCCTGAATGTGTATCTGAACATTCTACGGGAAAAATTACAACTCCCAATCCAGAGAGCATCCAAACGCGATATGTAAGTTTTACGTTGTAACTTCCTTGAATGTTATCGAATAGCGTTGACAGAGCATTGAGAAGCATAATCTTACTGTTCTTGTTCCAATTTCGTTTATTACACAAAATACTGTAATCTTTCATTGTTTTTGCTAAAAATATTCGATGGAGCATTCAAATTTGAGTATACTAACATCATCATAATTTATGAAAAGAGTGTAAGTAATAATAATTATTATTATTATTATTATTATTATTATATAGAAGTATTATAAAGGGTACCTCCAGGAAAGTAGGTAAAACCAAATAACATAAGAGTAGTTACAGTATTACTCTAACATAAAAGTAAGGTTTTTGAATGATTTCCTGCCGCCTAGCAACTTTCTTAGTAAATTAAAAGTTTTGTTTCTGTCTTCAGAAAGGTAAGGGTAGTGGGACAGGAGATACGAAACCTTTCAAGAATCTATTTTTTGTTACATTTTTAGTGCAACTGCTCAAATGTCATTTGATTTTAGGAAACTTTTTACCATCTCATTCGAGAATTTCCTTTAATTTATTGAAAGTCAGTTTCATCCGTCACATTCTAAAACATTTGTTGCAAAATGTTAATGATGGGGACATTTTAATTGTAATTGAACTTCTCCTGAAACTCTTCGTACTTTCTGGATCCACCCCTCTTACAGATTGATCGTATCGTCAGTACGATGTTCGAGTATACCGTACTCAATGTGGAAGTAGGTTAACATGTGTCCAAACATTGTCATTTACCCACATTAAGAAAAAATATAGTTAATAGTTCACTCATTACATCAGTCGTAATAATAACGTAAAATGGATTTACATCTAAAAGTGTCAAGCAACATGCACAAGATTGATAGAGGTATATTCAATTTAGAAAACCCTATGAATGATTTAGGCACACGTTTACAGATGGACGAACACAGGACGAACTTTTCGAAAAAAATAACTTTGTCGCTATCAAGTAACTCCAAAACGTCTATTTTCGTTAAAATCACGACACCTACATCACATAATTTTAACTACATTGTATAGTTCCGAATATACGTACGTATACGAGGAACAGACAATTGACGACAACAATACGCCGATCGCGCCAACGTCACCCACACAGTGAATAACATCTACTAACTCCAAAGATAGCCTAAATATCATGCAGAAACAATATTTAGATCAGAGCTTCACCAATTAAGGTAGAAGAATCAAGCAGCTTCAAAGACTGCCATTCATCCCAGACATAGCCCACACCCTTATTTTGCTTCTGAAATATCATGTTCTTTCTTAAAAACCAATGGTAAATTGTGAGTAATCAACATTTGCGCACACTTCTCACCTCATACCTGCCTCAATGGAAACTAATAAAGTAACCATGTCTCTTATGGCTAAATGTCCCGATACTAGTACAATTTGTAGCCACCATGTGGCAGCACCAAATAAGTAAAATTTACTTTACTGATAACGTCTGAACCAATGGTCCTGTTTTCGATCTGTAAAAGGCAGTTGACGCCTTTTTAAAATAGCATTTACGCTACGAAGCCCTTTTTCCAAAAATTTAGCAAAAATTTCAATTTGAAATTAGTTCTCAAACTTTCGAGAAAAAAATAAAAAAATGTGGGCTTATTGCGCGATGGAGACAAACTTTGTGAATCCAACGCCGTGACAATCATGCTAATCGGACGAATAGGAGCGTCATAAAGTTAAATTTAGGAAAACACCTCGCCCCCCCCCTTTCCCTTCTCCGCCGTCTGCACCCACCCGATTGTTGTGGGCCCTCTGTCGGCGCGGCGGCACGGCCAGGCCAAGCGGCGTGCGGCCAGCCCCTGCGGAGCAGGCGGGACTGGCGGGATACGTGAGCCAGACAGTCGGTTTATGCTTTCGTCACTTTGCATCTCAATCTATTTTCTCACAGGTAGCAAACTAGAGATTCTATACTACTATTACAGACCGAGGTAAACGGTCTGTTATAGTATTGCATAACTACCTTTTTCACATATTTCCGTCTTCGTGCGTGGAATCCCCTTTACATCAAATTTTCTTTCAGACTGGCTCCTACGAGGAAGGCATCGTCGATTATCACGTGTACTCCGTGACCGGCGTGTACAGCGTGGAAGTGGGCGACAGCACCGTGCGCTTGCTGCGTATTCGCAACCCGTGGGGCGACATCCAAGACACCATGGAGTGGAAGGGCGCCTTCAGTGACGAGTAAGCGTCTCCGCTCGGCATTCAATTAAGAACTTGAATTCTTCAGATATTTGAAATAATGTTACTCTTGTTCCCGTATTGTGAATTTTGATATTGATTCCTCGAATTTTCTCATCTTGTACTAAAGAGGATACGTCTTTTAACCTTAGAGCTAATTCGTATCTGCCGTTACTCGAAGTACCGGTATTGTTATTCTCAACATCTTCATGATCTATTTTGAGACGGGCTTTCATTGTTTGTTAGCCCAAGCCGGTAATAATTCTTGACCTCTAACAAATAACGCTAGGAAGATGGGGAGATGGTATTGGCGGATTTCAGAATCCCGCGTGTCCAATACGTGTTAGGGGAAAGACAGACGTTTCCCTGTCTCCACTTCTCCTCGTGTATCGACGCTTAAAGCGAACTGTTATCTGCTGCCACGTCAGGAGAACGGTTCAACTTCATAATAATTCATTTGAATGAAATAAATGCCAAAGCCCTTATTGGTCCAAATTATGACACCGCCGGTGGGACAGACCGCGAAGCCCACCCTTTTGCGCCGCCTTGATTCTGAATGGCCACACCTCCGTCTGTAAAGAAAAGGCTGAACTTCTCACAGTATCCAAAACATTGATGGAAAAAGAAAAAAAACAATTGAATAGGAACATTATTTCCAACGAGAACAAACATCGCATTTTATTCCATTGGCTGGACTGCAAAACCAAAACCTGATATTATATTTTTCTACCCATTACAAAGAATAATTGACCACCTCTAAGGTAACAAAAATGGCAAATCAATTACAACTCTCTGCTATAGACACTAAAAACTCTCTGATCTATTCATGCCAGCATCGGCTCAGTTGTAGTTGAGGAGTTGAAACATTTTAAGAATATAGTGAGAATTCCAGTAATTATTTAGTATCACTTTGCAGCACTCCGGACTTCCAGTTCATCTCAGTGGTGGGCAGACAGTTTAAGGATGTTTTTCCCCCATAGTTGAGTCTCGGTCCATTGCCATGCCACGTTATCAAGACCGCTGTTCCAAATACACCTCGCCGCTGACTCGCCCCAGTCCAACGCGGTAAGCAGGCCTCTCCCCCCCCCCCGCTAAGAGGAGGGTTTGGAGGGGGTGGCAGTGGGGGCGGCAGCGACAGCGATCCAGCGCCCTGCTTATCTTCACCCTGGCGAGGCGGCGAGAAAACTTGGGAGGAGAACTTAGCGCAGCCAGCCCGCGGTAAATTCAATTTTTTTTTATGTGGGACCTGTTAAACTCATATTAGCGCCCCCATAATCAGTTTTAAAACCATGGAACGCCCAACTCGGAGAGAAATTGTCGACAGTCTTCTCCGGCACAAATGTGTTAGCACCTGCGAGCATTGGCTTCGCCGAGACAAGCATAGTTCGCCACGCGCTGTGAACTGGCCTTGGACGGGTGGTTGCCCACGTTCTCATTGTCTGTAAAGGCATCCTAGACGGCGTCTCAGTGTGAGTAAATGCGATCTGGTGAATATTGTGGAAATTTTGAAATTAACTTTTAAACAAGTAATTCAAGTCAAAGTTAATGCTATTGGTACATGATGAACAATAAGCATTTTCTGCAAATTAAACAGTAAAATAATTGTTTTTTACTAATATTGAAAGCAAACTTCTGGTTCTGTTCGGTTTTTTCACCACTACAGTAGTCAGTTTGGTAATTTATCCGAGGGAAATGCGCGGAGATCGTCCAGAATGCACTCAGATCCATCTCTGCACATTTAGCCGTGAGGAAGTTCGCAGAATGGTGGTCGAAATGTTGGCACCTACGCCTAGGACGCTGCATCTTCCGGGCAGCCAAGTAGATCCGATTCCGGTCGAGAAAGCCTACGCTCTTTTTCTGTGCATGTATTCATTTCCATATCTCAAACATCTATTTCTCTTTCTGTTGGCAGTGATCCGAAATGGACCGGAGTAGATGCAGAAACTCGAAAGAAACTAGAATACGTGAAGGATGAAGATGGACAGTTTTTCATGAAAGTATCTCACTTCAAGAGACACTTCACACACTTTTGGATGGCGTACAAATCTCCTAACTTTGGAGATTATTATGAAACAACTTCTCAACAAGTGGGTAACAAAGAAACAAAATATGACTCAAACATAAAGGTATCAGCACTCCCTTTTGAACATACGATTGATTTATGAATGTTGGATTTAATGTTTCCGATAGCTACTCCAACTTATATTCTTCTTAAGTCTTGTTAACATTCAAGAGTTTATATTCAATTATTTTATGTTACCTCATTTTATTATTTATGTGTGCAATTTATCAATGGAATTTGCCAACACGTTGGAACAGTGTGTTTGTTTGTTTCAGATTTATAATTTTTCTAACGTTTGGGATAAAGGAATAGTTGTGAAGGGTGAGGGAGTGGAGTATGCCGATAATTTTCTCAGAAATCCTCTGTACACTCTGACTGTAGAAGAAAACGTAGAGGGTAAGTAAAACACGTAGCAAGATTAAAGCTATTCCAGTTATCATGTATTTCATACGTATACAATTTTGCCTTTTTGTAATTAACCTTTTTTTCGCGGAAGAGTAAGTCACACTTTGAGATAGTAGCGTAACAAAAAATGGAGCGCATATTTTCTGGCAAAACTATGCATCACAGAAAAATTCCCGAATTTCTATGTGTACTTGTCACGGCAAGATCCACAGAAAGGTATAAAACTACAACTCTGTACCTATTATAGGAGCTAAGAAATGAAATGGTTAACTTAAGTTCCACGTTGTCGGCTGATGCCGGTAAGTTACAGTAGTAAAGAAATTAATTTTGACATTATTTTTATTAATGTTTTTTCAAAGAACAAAACCCATATAGTTATAGATGACAGTTAAGTTTGCTAACAAAGTAGTAACCCACATCCCCGTCTTTACACCTACTTCAACTAGCAAATGGAAAATTCAACAAAAGTGTGAGTATAAGTGAATCTACATGTATATTCAGAAGGAAAACAACGGGGTTCTTCTTAGCATTGGATCATGAGTTTGGGAAACTGGGTGAAAAACTGATCGATAACCCAGAAACTGAAGTGCATTACTTGTTGTAGGCACATATAGTATTTTAAAATGATACAGTTCACATGTAAACTAATTCATTAAGTATACGAGTAATTGTTAAAACAAATATTACTAGCTGAACCCATGCAAACATTCCGCACTTCGTTAAATATTGTTTTAAAAGAAAATAACTGCATAGTCAACCCCAACTTCAGGCCGTAACCTGAACTGAATCTTGAAGAATTGAAGGCCCGTCATGACTGGCCTTTTATAGTGTCAATTTAATTTTACATAAAGACTCCCAAAGACCGGCGCGAAATATCCACAGCCTACGCGGAATGTCCGCAGCGGAAATTTCGCGTCACGTGTTGGCTTATGAGAACGTTCAGAGCTGCGCGGCAGGCGCGTGTCACGGCAGCGGATTGGCAGCGTGTAATCAGCACCGGATTTTGTTTCGCAGTCAGGTGCGTTTTTTTCCGCTGCCGCTCGAGTTTTGCTGTGTAAATAAAAGCAAACACTCGTCAGATATCAAATATTTTCAGCTCGCCAGTGAATCTGTCACGACTTAACGGTCTTAAAAATGTTTTAATCTTGTTCAGTAATTTAATTAATTTGTAGGACATTAAACTTCTATGCGTTCGTGGGCTTCCGCGGTCGGAGTCAATACATCCTTGGCCATCCGGGGTGAGCCGCGTCTCGGTCAATTGTGCTGACGTTTCGGCCATCTTTCTGTGGCCTTCTTCAGAGCTGTACTGCAGCAATATCGCTCTGAAGAAGGCCACAGAAAGATGGCCAAAACGTCAGCACAATTGACCGAGACGCGGCTCACCCCGGAAGGCCATGTATTAAACTTCTATTTTTAATTTTTTTGTCTTGAACTTTTGTACAATTTAGTAATGAAATACATATGTGTAGTATAGTGTATTGTGTATATATATACACATTATATATATATATATATATATATATATATATATATATATATATAGAGAGAGAGAGAGAGAGAGAGAGAGAGAGAGAGAGAGAGAGTGCAATAACAAGTAGTTCTTCAGGTGAGAAACGTTTATGATTATTAAGTGTCGGAATTTCTTGTATCTTCTGCAAACAGATTCAAAATGTCATCAAAATAGTCACGTAAGTAAATGTCACGTCACGTCTAGTAAATATAAAAACGTTTCTCGTCCTTTGTGGCATCAAGGTATGAAATTCTCCGAACTTTTTCCTTTCTAGACCATAATCATTAACTCCTTTTCTTCGTTTCCGAAAGAGATAAATAATACGATGGAAAACCGTAGATAATGAAGGTAAAAGCAACGGACTGCATGTGCTCAGAAATCGTACTACGCGTATTGTCATTTTCTGTCTCTCGCATAAATATTAGAAACCCTGCGTGAGCTGCAATACCCACACCTAGCTTTTCGCTATAATCCGCACCTCCCACCGACGCACAAGTACGTCATCAGCCTGGTATTCGGATCCCGTCAAAACGCAGTTTGCCCTCACAGAAACTTCCCCATTCAATAACTGGGTCGAAGCCGCCCTGTCAGCTCAGAGCTACTAGCTATCCGGACTAGTCGCGGAGTCGAATCAAGGCACCACTCACATGCGCCGGAACGCCTCTTTACCCAGAGTATCGAACTACTGCCACGACGAATCCAAGAGCCCAACAGGGCCCACCCGAACCAAGTCCTGGGTGGCTTGAGACCCCCTTCCCGTCTTTTCACTGTCTACACGTTTAGGCTAACGACGTGAGTATCACCAGAACCTATGCAACCAGACGGGTGGTAATTTGGTGCCGGACTCCTATATGTGGATTCCAGAGCATTCAGAGGAATCTCCTTCACCCGATCCTACCCAAAGGTCGAAGCGCCATTGGTTCCCGGGTATAACCGGCAACCAGAAGCTTATCTACACCTATACGCTAACGACGTCAGTGCCGCCGTGAAACTTAGGGTCTGGGTAATCGTCTACAATTCTTCACCAGGAGGCACGACGGAAAGGATCTCCTGTTCGGCTCTTGGATTCATCGAGGCAGTGGCCCGATACACTAGGCAAAGAGGGGTGACTTCTCCAGGCGCATGCGAGTGGCGAATTCGACTCTTGCATGAATATAAGCGAGCGCGTTTTGTTTATCGGATGAGGAAAACGGTCACCAAACGCTTACTCATAATTGACTCTCCGGTGTAAACGGAACCGCGAATTTCGTCGCCGCGTCTAACGCGGAACTTTCCGCGCCGCACCCGGAGCGGATCTTCCACGCCGGTTAGTGGGAGCCTTTAATCTCTAGTTTTGGCTCGTTTCTAACCCATCCGCTACGGAGGAGAGAACCGCAGAAGTGCTAAATCTCAACCCACTTGTTCGCTCCACTCATTTAATTAAAAAATTTAAATTAAAAAAAAAATTTAACCGCTTTATTCCCCTTGAAATTAATGGAATTAATGTCTTATTTTATGTGGCGAGACTCGTGCCATCAGGCCCGCTCTTCCGTCTGACCACGCAAATTTCGCTACGCTCCTTTCACCAACTAGCGGAGAAAGAGGTAATTCTTGGTCGATAAACAGGCGATTTTAAATTTAGCTCAGATGCTTCATTTAGGCTTGAGGATCTTTCACATGCAAGTAAATCTACATGGGACATCCGAAGGCGTACGAAGGATTTTTTCACCTTCGATCGGGTTTGAACCCGCCAACTTGGGTATACCAGTCCGATACACAAACCGTTACACCATCGCCGCCACCCTTTGTATGCTTCGTCGCAGTTTCACCATATGTTCTCCAGCATATACATATGTTTGCGTGCATGTTAATAAGTTTGCTGGTGTGTTAACATAATTTTGCGTCCCTGGATGTACCTCAACGCGTTTGCTATACAAGTACAATGTCCAACATGTTCCTCAAAAGTGTCCAGATGTTCCCTCAAATATTCTCTAAAATGTGCCACCGAGTCTTCCAATCGTGTTCTATGAATGATTCCGCACATTTTAATCTGTAAATTAAACCAAAAATTCAAGAAGTTAATTTATGTGCTTCTTCTTTTTAAATACTTGCATAAATGTAATTGCGTGTAATGCAGTGCCTCCCCTGTCAAAGGAAGAGGAAAGTTGTAAATAGCTAGAGTACACAGAAGAAATAAAACAACAAAAAATGTAAAGAAAGTTCGCGAAACTTTTTCATATAAATTCAATATCAAAAAAGCATAACTTTTGAATCATTGTGTCAAAAGTGTTAATAGCTTCACAACGGAACCCAACTTAAGCCATTTCTTGCAATCTGTCCTACGGTGTGGCGGAACCATCAGAACGTGTGACAGAACGTCCAATTTTGTAGATTACGGTATACTAAACAACTTGTGCCTCAAGGGCACAAGAAACTCCTTTTAAGGCCCTAGGACGTATTGTTTCGGAGTTGAGATGTTAAAGTGTGTTGGAGCATATTGTGTTTGGCGGGTAGAACGTGCGTCTGTTAATCCATATATACCATAATTTGTGTTCTGTGATTTTTGTCTCAAATATTTTTGATGCACTTGTGATGGATAATTCCCCATTCAGTTGTAGTTTATTTACGAGGGTTTGTAACCATGTCTCGGAGAATATTCTATTTGTAGAATAGATTCGTAGAATGGAAAAAAATAAATCAAGCGAGTGTTGAGTAGCTAAGTAGCATCATCTGATGAGAAAATACGTCCCTAAAGAATACCTTAGCTCTTATTGTCTCATTTTACTTTCGCCTAATTTTTCGTTCAAACGTGTTCAGAGGGCGGTCCAAACACCACCTGTGCGGACGGTGTAGGGTCAAGCAAAGTGAAAAATTCCAAAAATTTCAATTTATTTTCAGAAATTTTATTTTCAATTTATTTTTAGAAATAAATATATTATATTATTTAATCATAATTGAGAATCCAAGTTTACTGAAACGTTTTTATTATTTTTTAGAAGAAGAGTCAGAGTATGAAATTGATTTAGATGAAGAAACTGTTGATGAATCTGATGATGAAGATGCTACTACTCCATCTTATAACGTTATCATTCAACTTATTCAAGATCAAAATCGAGGCAAATACCATACTGAAATATACCCTATTGGTATAAGTGTATTCCAGGTGAGTCTAAGAGTAAATCGGGTTTTGATTTTTTTCTTTCAGATCACATGTAACATAAATAAGTTTTTTAATTAGTTATTAATGTTCACTTTGTAAATAGTCACTATAATCACTTTGAAAATGAATGTTAAATTACGATGTACATTATGCTTTCTTATTCACATAAAATATAATCGAATGTTCTACGTGAACGAAAGGGCCCCAAATTTTATGGCGATCGACTTATCATTTTGCCAACACTCAAACTAAACCTCAACTAATCATAGTGCAAAATAAACATTCTCAACTATTTTTAGTGCAAAATAAAACAAAAATTCTCTATTAGCGCACTTCAGGCAAACTGGCTCAGTTGATATCTGTGATCAATTCTCCTAAAACTACCCTAAATGTTTTAAGTCAACTTAGCAAGTTTCTCGACAGTTTGGACTGTTAAGAAAGCAGTAAAAAGTATTAAAAAGAACGTATTACAAAAATGTAATAAAATAGTTATTAACGAAACTAGTACAGAAAATAAATGTCCGACACATTAAAATGTTAAGGAAGCGTTAAGAGCAGAGTTCGTCCTTTTGAAATGAGGAGGTTCGCCTAAGATGCTTTCGTATGAGTTGCAAACATCAATTTTATCATGAATTCACGGAAACAATTATATAAACTTGCGATAATTCTCGATATTTGATGGCAGCTATATTAATTAAAATCAGCCCAGAGTTTTGTTTACTTCGCACTTTTTTGTTTTGTTTACATTTTCTGTTGTTTTTAATGAACTTGACGTCTTTACAGTACGTCAAATTCTTTTTTTCCTTACGCGTGCCAAAAAGTAGCACTTTTTCAATCAATAAACAGTGAAGTTATGTACTTGTTTCCACGCATGAATACTGAATATGTTTTATACTTAGTTGACAATTATTCGAATTGCAGACGGGAGGCCGATATCCGAAAGAACTAGGACCTGAAAATCTGGAAGAATTCGAGCCACACAAGGGATCGGTGGAACCAGTTGTTCACGGCAGCATTGTCGCCAGATTGAATCTTCGTCCTGGAAAGTACATTGTCGTCCCTTGGGTGAAGGAAGCAAGAATGAGTCGCCCGTTCCTTATGCGCGTTTACGCCTTACAGCGTATCACGATGGAAGTTGTAATGCGAGAAGAATAAATTACGCGGGTGTAAATATGATACCTTCTCATATATAGACAATTGCAATATGAAATGATCATCATTTTTTCACAATGGAATCTCTCATAATTCATTGTTATTAACACGATGAATTTTTCTAACTCCTTCTACTAAATCACATGTAATAATTTTACTTTATATTCCTTTAATCAAAAACTAACACCCACATTCGGCAGCCAAAAGTACAGGAATAAATGAACTTGTTAAACAGTTTTTAACGAAATATCGTGTTAACCAAATGTCTTGTACTGTTTTGGTTATAAGTCATACGGAAAACTAGTTCACTTTCCTTCTGATCCAAAATTATCTCCCCTTGGCATTTAGTCTTACTACATTTTCATATCGGTTCTAACTTCAAGAGTCAAATTCAAATGAAGTCAAACAAAGATCAAAGTCAAATTAGTGAAAAAAATCACAATTACGTTTATGGCGTTCTTCCATATTGAGCCAAGAAAAATCAACATCATTTTACAAAAAAAGTACGATAATCACGTTCTTCTATTTTGTTGTAGGGAATGCATTCATTCTTCTGATCATCAACTGACAAGAAAATAATGAAATTATGAGAAATACTCATAATTAATATTTCACTATTCTCCCACTCTTAGACATAGTTGCGTCCCAATGGCTTAGCTCAACTGAATTTCAAACCCTGGGAAACACTCAGAATCCTAGCCGCCCAAAAATATTTTTACATCTCAAGATTTGTGCAATTAGTGATAACTTTGCAGTAACTCATAAAATCAAAATTTATTTGTTTTCTTAATAATTTTGTCTGTCTATCAGATTTCCACGCCCTCTGACTTTGAGACCTGGATGTATTCTCATTCATATCCGAATGTTGCTCTTTATTTTAAAAAACGCGTGCTTGCAGTGATTTGAAATGTATCAAGAAAATAATAGATTTTAAATAGATGTATTGTTTCCATGTTAAATCTATACAACAATTGATAACAAAAAATATATAACTTTATAAAGTAATTATTTTTAGAGACATTATACTTCGATTAATTTACTAGTGTTATTTTTTACTGTATTAAGTTGTGAGTTTGTGTATTTGATTTCTTTTTGTATAAGAATCCAAACTTATATTAATATGAATAATAAGTACTTTAGAAATGCACATCAATAAAAGTGTATTGTTTTCTGAACTTATTATCCTTTTATGTATATTCCTGTAATCCTATTTTATTAAAATATATTTCACTCATGTATATAAAATCCTACAAAGTTGCCAGCAGCACAAAGTGTTTAATTTTTTTAATGAGTTGAATTCGTCTGCCTCTCATGTGTACCCATCCATCCACATCAGAATTAAATGAAGAAAGAATTACTGATCGCGATTTTCTTTGTAAAGATCTTTAGTTGAACAGGAAGATCACGCTTAACGATAACTACTAAAAAATGTTTCTCTGGCTTCATCGCTGTTCAACTAAAAGTTGTCTAGCAATTCGTCCTTCACATCCAAACATGAATGAGAGATAATTAGCGATGTATCTTTGGAACTTGATAAATAAATGATTTTCAGTTAAGTTTACTCTTAGACATTAACTTTAATATACGATTCACAACTTTGTAACAACACAATTAGTATCATCATAAATTATAATGAGAATGGTGACATAACTCAGATCGTTCCAGAAATATTCATCTCATGGGAGGTTAAGTTTGTCGACTGTGCCAACACTGAGTTTCCAAACCGAGAACACTTACTAGGCGACAAAAGACCGTCACACGTGTATATCATTACGTTCTTGCACAGCACAGCTTACACTAAGGAACAAGATTTTTATCTACAGGAAGGTAGCGTGCGCAACGTGCTCCATTTTATACGCAGATTGCGAATATTATAATAAAAACGCCATATCACGTCGGTTTTTTAATAAACCTTATCATACCGTATTTTGCTATTAATGCAAATACGTTTATATTGCATCTGTAAGATATTGAGATGCCTCATGACATCTCTCTCGTGCGCTAATCGGCATTCGTAGCTCACCCGAGCCGATACTCCACCCACCCATGGTTGCCATTAGCCCCGCACAGCTACCTGGCCTACCAAGGGTCAGAAAAGCCCATAAAACTCGAAACTTTACCACGACGACAGTGTGAGAGCCACCCTCTCAAATACACCCTCTCAAATCCACCCTCTCAAAACCACCCTCTCAAAACCACCCTCCCAAAACAAATGCACTTTCTCTAATCCTCCGAAACCAGCCATAACTTCATCTTCAGCATCGGCAACTAGCAGGTGTTCCCCCAGGCGTCCTTCGTCAACAGAAGCCAAATAAACACAACTAATTAGAACTATCTAAATAAGTAGGACGTCAGAGTAGGAATTGTCGCAACCAATAGACAACTCCATAGCGCAGAACATCCAAAAAGAAGCCAATGGAAACGATGGCTAAACAGGCGGTACGCACGTGACAACAGCGGCGCTCATACAGGGATCAGTAAGCAAAGAGTAGGGAGTTAGATAAGGGGAAAAACAGACGCGTTCTGAATTTCAACGAGTCGACAGCTAATAAACTCTCCGGCTACGAGCTGGACAACAAGTCCGACCGTAATCAGTTTTGGCAGAAAAATATTATAACTCACAAAAAATTGTATTACTGGAAACAATCTTCATCGGAACCAGTACATCATTTTTAACTGATTGTCGATGACGTATTTGCATCAAATGGAACTAATTCCTTTCAGGCGACAGAATTAAAAAACGGTATATTACGAATATCACAATACAAACGTCATTTCACGTCATTTTTTTAATATTCAACATATTTATATGGTACCATACTGTATTTTGCTTTTAATGCAAATATATTTAAATTGCATCCACGAGCGCTAATTGACCCTCGTTATAGCTGACGCGAACCGACAACCCGCCACTTTGAACCGCCGCTTTAGGCCGACGCTTTCACACCGAAAAACACGGTTAAATTTTAGTATACGGTACTCCCTTAGAAAAGCGTGGCGGCGGGACTTAAGCCCTAATTACTGTACGTGCTCTAATAGAAAAGAATATAATTTACGGGTAAGCGATTTTCATGGTTCAACTTACGCCAATTTTCTTTCATAGGCAGGTTTGTCGCTTCGCTCGCCCGGATCCAAGTCACGGTGAGGCTCGGGCCTTCGGCCCTCGCGTTCACTATAAACATCCTTGAGTCTATCCAACGCATAATTACCAATTCACTTTTATAAGACATCACTTTTCAAGAAAGACTCCAGAATTCTAACTGCCTATTTAACGCCGGAACGACGCAAAGAGCCGGTTTAAACGACTTCCTTAAGTTGTACCGTATACTGCATTTCAGCCAAAAACACTTGCGCACTTTCTCACCTAAAATCACGCAAAAGCGCGTACCGCTGACCAGTGACGCGACGTGACACGAGGTCGCACCCGTCAATAGCCTGCATCGCCACCTCTCCTCCCGAGGCATCAACAGACGTGCGCAACCTGGGCGCAAACCCAACGGAGAGGCCAACGAGCAACTCTTAACGGCGACGTAACCATAATTTGTTGCGGTACACCCCTGTCCATATTGAGAAACTGCCATTTTATTGGACAAAGGAGGGGAACTGCTTAGTGTAGAATAGATTAACACAACTTTTTTAAGAAAACAGTTATCTTTCGTAATAAACTTGTGCCCGCTGCTTTGACGGGCAACACTTAAGCCCTTTTAATCGGCGTTGTCTCAGATCTAATAGCTCAGACTGAATGCTACGCGATCGAAACGATCATTAGCAAAATGAATTGTTGATACCAGACAACATATTTTACTTGCCATACTTAAATAATAGAAGATATCTACATCACCAGCGATCTAATTAACCTATCTATTAGGTTTACGCACCGTTAATCGGCCATGTGGTGTTCCACCACAATTATTCTCACTCCTGCTAATTTTCACTCATTCATAGCACGCATTGATGTAGTCACAAAACCTATTTTGCACTCCTATGTTCAGCATTTCACTTAGTTAACAGTCTCCAGATCATTATGACGTAATTTCCATTGCACTGGCACCAATTCTATTCTCACTCCAGTTTTTCACGTGGCGGTCACTCGCCACCGACACCTCCGCTCTTTACGTTTCCCAAACTGCCGTTTCAAAGACCTCGTCTTTTCACCATAGAATAGATATATCTCTCTCCTCTATGCTTTTCACACAAGCCGCCAAGGACCCGTTCGTTTGTCAACCGTTCGCTCTCGCGCCAGGTTTGAATAATCCATTTCTCTTTAATCCTAGATCTTGAGACCCAATCTTGTCTCAATATATATGATTATTTCTCCTAGCAATTAAAACAGACAACTACTTTTTTCATCACGCCACATTTGCAACTATTTTTTTCTGCGCCTAAAACAAGAGTCATTGGAGTTGTTGTTGCAATATCCTAATGGACACTGTCAGCTCTTATTCGGTTCTTCAAGTGTACTTAAGTGCTGTGCAATAAGTGATGCCCACTTGGAGTTTTTCCAATTACAGTAGTAGTTATTTCCTCAGTCAGGTTCAGTAAATTTGATTGCCGGAACGGGTTATTTCCTTATCATACTGTGACGGTCCATTCGGACTAGTCACAATGATTAATAAAAATATGCAATAAAGTAACCAAACACTGACGTATTTAATAAAAGGAAGCAGTCAAAGGTGGAAACCAAAAACATCTAAAATTAGAATATACAAAATGTTCCAAAAGATCTCGGTGACAGAGGAAAGCGAGAGTTTTGTTGAAAAAAACAATCGAAAGATTAGACTGACTATTGAAGACACAGAGAGATGATAAATGCCGTGCTGACAACATGGTGTAGCAAGTGCTGGCAATTTTCGTGTTTTGGAGAGAGTGAAATTAGTTATCGGAGAGAAGGCGTGTTGGAGTTTGCGCTGACTTCAGTAATTAGATACTTGGGATTCAATGGAAGTACTGGATTTAGTAGGTTTTGCGTAGAAACGCATAAGAAGTGTGGTAATGTGGGAATGGCGAGCCCAGCTGACGGAACACATCACGGTCAACATCATCATATTCACGGATGTAGACATCCCCAGATATTACCCCACGCGTACAAAATATATATTTATGAGAACACCAAGCACTGTAATAAATTTGGTAAACACCCTGAAATAACATGGATGTCATCCAACTAATAACGTACACAGTGTGAATGAGAATTGTGCAAATAATGTTTTGTATTAAGTGTGAATGTAAAGTTAGAGTCATTGTTATTGTGCTAAAGAGTATTTCTTGTTTTGTGTTTTTTGTTCGGGAACGTCTCACAGGAAGTGGCGACGGCACAGATTAACACTGCCGAATACATTAACGGTAGCATTTGTCACGGAGCTGAATATTTTTGAATGATGTCTACATTTTTTGTGTTTGTAGGTCAAGAAAGATAAATTCATCTCCCATCACCAAAACAAAGAAAATAATTAAAAATATAATTTCCGTATCCTGTACAGGAGGGACTTAAGTCTCACGATTCTAAAACAATATTCCCGTGCCCATGCTGCTCGAGCCAGAACGATTAGTATTAAAATATAACCAGAAGTTTTGAATACAAAGTAAAATAAATAATAGATGTAAAATAATTACAATAAAGATAGAGACACGACGGGTCGGTCACAATACAGAATCAGAAATTAATTGCAGCTAAATCGATGATATTGTAAAATACTTGGCCAGTGTCCGTCTGGATGAAGATTTAATCTTGCTATTTGTCGTCGTCCAAATAACATTTAAAACGAGCAGTCATTTTGACTTCTACCGCTTGTTGAAGGAAAACAATGATGAATGACCTATTATCTCAAAAACTAAGAAATCTAAAACAAATATATTTCGGCATTTTATAGAAAGTACTGAAATATTCAGTCACAAAATATTATAAAACAAAATCAATAATTATAGGCACAAAAGAAAACTAATCTCGGGTACATCTGGGGTAGATCGTGGGATATCTTGCGGCTCATAGCATCGTCGCCCTGCCCCTTCACTAAAGAGCTCCAAGTTCGATTCCTGTCAATTCCCGAACAAGCTCATCTGAAATTTGTTCCATCAAAACGAGTCTGCCTGCTTCACTGGGGTTGGTCTAACCCTGGAGAAGACTCATAAACCTTACCCCTTCCTAATTCCTTCCCGATTCTCGCCGCTTGGGAGTGACGCAGGGGCTCGTGATGTAAGAGGCGCATATGCTGGATCTGCCTGGCAGTCCTCTTCACAAAACTGACTGAAGAGATGAGACATACAT